AAAAAAAAAGAAAACAAATAGGGGCAGTGAAGGCGGCGTAGAAGAAAAGCTTCTTTACAACTTTAATGGAGGGGAAGGAGGCTGCCTCCCCACATGCCACTGCGCCCGAAGTTGTGAGCACCATATCTTCGCTTCTGCAGCCAGCTGTAGGTGCTGCACACGTCATGCAGCGTGTTGTGGCACAGCAGCAACTTCTCCATGCTGACATTGAATCTTTGAATGATGAGTTGCAGAGGGCTCGAGCACATTTTGAGAGGACCAACAATACCCAACACCATGAACTGGATATGTACTGCGCTAGACTAGCTCGATGCCGCTCGGATGTGGCGGTCCTGTTTAGACAACTTACGGCGACCAAGCAGCGTCTCTTACGCGTGCAGCGCGTCTTGTCACAGCGAAAGGAGGAGATTCGACTGGAAAATGAGTCCCTGAAAGAGCGGCTTGTAGTTTCCGCCGCAACTCCAGATGCCACAAACGATGCGGCTGTGTGTGGGCCTCCTGGTACATCGGAAATTACAACGGAACACCATGACGAAGAGGTACAGGGCGACGTGGTGCACGATTTTTGATGGTAATGGAGCAGAGTAATCCTTTTTTATTTTCTCAGTGTGCACCGAAGTGGTGCACTACATGATCTTGCGCGCGCCCATGTGGTGTCACCTCTGGCAGTGGTAGTTATGGAAGAAATTCCGATGCGAAGATCGATAGTTGGGAGAGGGTGTTGAAACCATTCTTGTGATGGTCCCATTTTATACACTTCCAATTCTCTTCCATATTTTGGCATTCTGGGTTTAACAAGAGCGATTTATTATTGGGGGGTTTATTTTGAAAAGAAAACCTTTTTTGCTGTATGTCGTCAATTCTTGCTATCATCAACGCACGCCGCCTTTGGTGCGGTGGGCCGACACACGGCGAGAAGTCCAACTGCCGCCCTGAGGTGAATGCAATGCTTATTGTGGATGGTATCATACGTTGCATCGGTGACACCAAGGAAGTAATGGCTCAGTACACAGTAGCAGTACAGAAGAAGCCGAGTACTCTTACAGTCACATGTACTGGTGGAAGGCCAAGACCTGCTTCTGCACGTATCATTGATTGCCAGGGGAGGCACTTTGTGGGACCGGGTTTTGTTGACTCACATGTGCACTTCCTTGATGGTGGGCGAAAATTGTCATCGCCGTGTTTGGATTTTGCGCAATCTAAAAGCCAGTTCATCTCTATTGTGCGTGAATACTACCATCAGAAATACGTTGTGGAGGGGCGTGACGCCAACACGTGGATATTCGGCAGCGGCTGGAGTGAGACGGTACTGGGTTGTGCTCCATCACGTTACTGGCTTGATGAAGTCTCCAGCACAGTCCCAATAGTTATTTACAGCAAGGATGTACATTCCGCAGTGTATAACACCGCGGCTTTGCGACGTTGCCGTATCATTCCTGAAGACGAAAAGAGCCCCATTGTCATGCAGGAAGTGGACGGTGGAGTGATTGAGTGGGACCCTGTGCGCTTGGAGCCCACGGGTGTTCTCCGTGACAATGCTGTGTCAGCCACACGGAAGTATCGGCCCTCGCGAGACTCTGAAGATGGTATGGTAGAAGCGCTGGAGTTGGCGTCACAATACCTTTTGGAGAGAGGATTCACTATGGTGTTCTCCATGACCTCACTCCGATTTGACAACATGTCTGAGATCGAGTTTCTTGAGCGCATGCAGAAGGCAGGGAAACTGCGCCTGCGAGTGCGCAGTGCTGTAAGGCCATTTGAAGCCGATCGACTAATGTCTGAATTTTATAATCCCATTCTCGCAGAGCAGCGTCATGATGGACTGGCGTTTCCTTTTTGCTTCTCCCCCCTTCCTGCGGAGAGTGGTGGTGGGTACCTTCTATTGGGTGCAGTGAAATTCTTCAGCGATGGTTCATTGAGCTCTCGCACAGCCGCCATGACGCATCCCTATGAGATGGAAGTGACAAGTGACGATGGAGAGGCATATGAAGTACACAAATGGAAGGAATGCTGCAATTGTGGTTTCCTGACAATGACGAGGGAAGAACTTACTGAGGCGATTGCTGTTGCACAAAAACACCATTTACAGTGTTGCGGCCATGCCATTGGAGACCGAGCTGTCAGTACAGTGAATACATTTTTTGCCGATACCGTAGCAAAGCAACAAGATGCGACAACAGGCAACCAGGTTCTTAATCAGGTCATGCGCAGTTTCCAACAGAACCCTCGTTATCGTGTGGAACATTGTCAGCACGTCTCTAGTATTACCAAAGAGTGTGACCGCATGTCAAAGCATGGTATTATTGCCTCCATGCAGCCCTGTCACCTGCTCTTTGATGGGGATTATGCTGATCATTTGTTGGGGAAGTCTCGCAAGAAGCGCTCCTATGTGTGGAAGTCCTTTCTGAAGAAGGGGGTGCACGTGGCGTTCGGTTCTGACTGGATGGTGGCCCCCGCGGATATTATGGACGGGTTGCGTGGATCTGTTCTACGCACGCCCGATATGATGACAGCTATGGCAACGGAAAAAAACGCAGGTGATGTTAGTGCCGCATTGCACGAAAACGAGAAGNCCACGTATCACTCTGTGTGGAACGCGTCGGAGTGTCTGACGATGGAAGAGGCTCTGCGCGCCTACACCTATGAGGGTGCCTATGCGGCCTTCATGGATCAGTATGTGGGCTCGCTAGAGGTGGGCAAGTGGGCCGACGTTACGGTGTTCTCTGACGATCTGCTGGACGAGTCGCACATGGAGTCATCGCCCATGGCGGGGGGGAAACCGTGGTGGATAAGAGGCAGAGAACCGCAGGTGCTCTACACAATTGTGGGTGGAAACGTGGAGTACGAGCGTCCTAGTGTCGAGTAGTTTGCTTCCTTTTTCACACACACACATGTATTTATATATATATATATATATATATATATATATATGTGTGTGTGTGTGTGTAATATTTACGATTGTTAGATCGGGAAGCAAACAAAAAAGGGAAAAAATTCACCAACACGTTGCAGACTGTCAAGAGAAACGGCCTAGTTTTTACGGGCACGTTTTGAGCCACTTGCATTAGTGTTGCTCCTGCTTGGTTGCCTCTTCTTGTCTCCCGAGAGTCGTACCTCAGGCAACACTAACGCTCGTTCATCCATCCGGACGTTCCGCACACTTGCCCCACGGATGAGAGACTCCCGTGATTTCCAAAATGCATCGCCCTCAGCACCTGTTCTTATGCACTGTTTCAGTAGCATATTCATTGAGCGATCTATCCGCACCACTGTTCCATTGATTGTCTCACCGCCTGTTAACTCTACAGATATTACTTTTCCCTTGCAGTTGCGTAGTATATCTAATGGGACAACAGACTTCTTCGCATTCATATCCTACATCTCAACAAAATGATGTAAGGCATTTGGGGAAGAGAGGAACCAAATAGCACAGAAGAGAAAGCGACAGGGGAAATCGACAGAGAGAGAGAGAGAGAGAGAGAGGAATACAAAAAAAAAAAATGCATACATAACCTGCATGTCATCCCTTCAATTTCATCCGTTCCCAGGCGGTAGCAGTCATCTCCTTCAGCCGGGGGAACACCATTACAAAGGTCCTTAAGTCGTTATCAGGGAGAAAAGACACAACCAGTGCGTGCACTGCTCTCGGAAACGCGCGGAAGTAGCGCAGCGATGCCATATAAGAGGGTTTGCTCCCTGGCGCACCCGCTGCACAACAAAGACGCTGAAGCAACTCCAGGGTACGAAATGATGTATAACTTACAACAGTTGTGCCGTCCAGACCCCAGAACACCTTGTGGCATCTGGGACAACGTGTGAATGCCTCATAGATCTCGTACACCTTTGAATGTACATCTCCCGCAACACTCCATTTGGGAACGGGTAACAAAACCTCATTGCATGCAATACAGCGCGAGAAAACACGTCTGTAGTCGTAGCAAATCCCTGTCTCTCTGATGAGACGCACCATGGCAGAAAAAAAGTCCGCCGAGAACTGCGGATGGACCTTGTACAAAACAACCTCGCCTCCCTCGTCAGACTCATCTGAGTAAATTGATTCGCCATCTGAGTCGTACGCAACAACAGTTCGCATTTGAGAAGGAACGGTCTTACGTTTAGTTAAGGCCCTGTTGTGTGCCTCAACCTGTGATATCAGCGTTGGACTTGATGCAACCAATGCCAGCTTATCTCTTGCAGCCATTTCCAGTAGATCGCATTGACGAGTGTAAGGATCGCACACAGCACTGTAGCCAAGCAGACGGAGATACTTTGCTACGCGGTTCAAACTGTAGTCCATCAGAAAGCCATTCATAGCAGTCATCCGCCACACACCACGAGAGATGCGACACGAGCACCACTCAGCTTAATACAACCACAATCACAACAAGAATTTTTGCCGTCACAAGCGCCACACCCTGGGAATCCTCTAAGCTTATTCACACGAAACAGCAAGTAGAGGAAACCGGCGCATATTCTTTCACAGCAACTGTCTGCCCAAACCCAGGTACGCCCCCACACTCGGGTCAAGCATAAGCAAACTTATATATATATATATATATATATAT